TGGAATTCTCATTCTAAAGAAAAAAAATCATGAAAGCCCATAGTGGTGGCTCTTAAAAAAAAGAGTTAATGATATTCAACAACCCAACCTTCAGGGAAGGGGCAGATTACAAATTAAAGTGAGAAATGTGGTAGTAACTGATAAATGGAAAGAAAATTCTGATACCCCTTTTTGCTTTGTTTTGATCCCACCCTAGCAGAGACTTGGAATGTTCTTAGAAGGAAATGTAAAACAGTACTGAGTGTAGTAACTGAACTGGGAGGGACCTTTCAGAAATCTCTGTTCTACTAGTTCAATTGATTGAGGCCCATAATAAGTAAGCAACAGAGCTGGATTTAGAATTCAGGTTTCTCCATTCCCCGTTAAGCATGCTCTTAATCTTATCCCCCAAAATGAGAGATACAGAGAAACATGTAATATTTTCAACATCAGCCCTCAGAAAATTTCAGTTGTTTAGGCCTCTTATATAGAACAGGAACCAGCCGTATGTTATATACAATTATGTTTTTCTCACTAGAAGAATTCCATACACCTAGGATGCTGCCAGATTAAATTAATAATAAAGTTGCCTCCTATAGTCTTCTGTTTTGGAAAATGTTCATATTTATTACCTATTTTCTATCTGTGAAATCTCTAATGCACACATTGTTTTTTTCTTTGTCATATATACTGATGGCCACTTAAGGTGTTACATTCAGCGATAGGAGATCTGAATAAAATAATTATATAATCTGTAATCTCAAAGGATATTTAAAGTCTTCTGATATTGTTAAGTAAAAAAATAATAATAGAAGGATACAAAACAGTAAACATAATAAAATCCCGAAATTGTTTTAAAAGTAAAGGAAAAATAAAAAAGTACACAGTGGAAAGTATTAAACTTGATTATCTATGGGGCGGGGGCGGGGGGGGGGGGAGTCATGTATTTATTTCAGATGATTTTAATTTTGCTCATTGTGCTGTTCTATATTTTCTAAATGGGCTGCTATAACCCAACCAGTTGTTATTGAGTTGATTCTGACTCCTGGTAACAGCATGTGTGAGTAGAACTGTGCTTCATAGAGTTTTCAGTGGATGATTTTTTGGAAGTAGATCGCCAGGCCTTTCTTCCCAGGTGCCTCTGGGTGGACTCAAACCTCCAACCTTTCGGTTAGCAGCCAAATGTGTTAACTCTTTGTACCACCCAGGGACTACATAGGCTACTATACACAATGTGTTACTTTGGTAAGTAGAAAAGTGAATATAAATATTATTTTGAAGAGGTAAGCAAGATTTTTCCCCTACCTTATGCAAACAGGTCAGAATCTGTCCTTTTTTGGGGGAGGGGGGTGGCAAAGAAGTCTCTCTAAAAAATACTTTTATTCAAAATTAAGAAAACTGCTTCATCTCCTCTTTCTCATTCACTTCATGGTCTTTTCTCACTTTGTTATTTTTCTTTTGTTGTTCTTTCTAATGTATCCTGAAAGTGGCCATCAGCATCATCAGATAAATTTGCTATCACACTGGTTTTCTCCTAGAATAGTTTCCCGCAGTATTCCATGACAACACTGATTATTTGGACAGCAAAAAGGCTGAGACAGTAGCCACAGAGAAGACTGGAGACTAAACCTGAGAGATTAAGCTAAAGGAGAGGTAGCAATTGATCAAGCCTTATTCCAGAGAAGACAGAGGGCAGACCCAGGGGGCCCAGGAGTATAGATAGAAAGGTTACCCTTGAAACAGGAAGGAAATTTGGGTAACCTTGAAACTACAAGCAGGAGAGAGTAAAGATCATGACAGCATTCAGAACCAGTAATTCTGATTTCCTCTTCAGTAGGAGGCAAGGTCATCTGTTAGTAGTTAAGCAGGGAGGAGCTTGGGTAGGGCCCTGGGAGAGTGGTGAAGGTATGAAATAATAGATCATGAGAGCAATAAGCAAGACATCTATTGAAAATCAACTAAAGAGTCATGACCAGCGCCAAGGACCCAGCTGCAACTTGAAATCAATCTTTTTGGCCATCTCTGCACAGTTAAGCAGTATTCTCCAGCCAGGTTAGCAAGTATGTGAGAAGATAGTCCATTCCCTGCCCCAGTCCCATTTCTCTAGTGTGTTACACTTGAACTTTGTTTCCTTCCTGCCCTAACCAGTTTGCACGCCAAGTTTGATCACTTGTGATGCTTAGTAGCCAATACTCTCGACTTCCTCTCCCCATTGTCTTTATGTGGCTTCTACGCTGCAGCTTTTGAGCCCCGGGTCTGCCAGAATAGAAGATGAGGGTACATTAGGTTGAACCTTATGAAACTGCCATTTTTATAGGTCAACAATGACTAAATAACCAGGAATTTGATGACGGATGACAGGATGGAATTAACTGGTTTGAGAATGAGAAAGGTTTGGTACTCTTGTTTGAGGGCTGGGAACTGGCTTCAAGTCCCAGGAGGTATCAGAGCCTTGCTAACAGCCACTGCTCAGGGCAGTGTATTCAGGAGCTTCGCCCTGAACAAAGGTAAGTTCTCAATACTGCTTAACTGTGCAGAGAGACTAGGGCCTCACAGGAAGCTTACTCTGGCATTTCGTATTTTGTATTATTTTTTCCTGGACAAGCACAGCGTAAAGTTGTCAAGGATACAAACAAAATTCAAAACAAGACTGATGGGAGAAGGGGGGTTGGAAGCAGCAGGTTAAAAACAAAAACAAAAACCCCACAAGATGAGGCCTTGATTAGAGATCACAAATGTAGTGGTTGTGTTAACTAGAATTAAAGGCAAACTATCAAAACAGATGTTTTCTCATTGTAGGCCAAGAACATCACTCTTCAGATCCTCTACGTGTTCCTCAATCATTCCTTCCTTTAAAAATGTCATGTCATAGCTCATCTGGGCCGGAAGCTGCACTGTGTAAAGACTGGACGTCTTGAGATATCTGAAACTACCTTAATTGTGAAAGACTGACAGTTGAGAAATTAAGAGAAACTTGGGAGAGAAATTCTACCAACTCCCTAGAAACGAGATTAATATCCAGTTTTGCATCAACTGAAGAAAAGCTTCAAAACTCTTCGGCTATTAACTAGAATTAACCCGATGGTGGCAATTAACGGGTACTCTAATTTTCCAATAAAGACTAGATGAGAGAAATAGAAAAAGAAAAAACTGTATCCAGTTGCTGTCAAATCAATTTCCATTTATGGAGACCCCAGGTAAGTCAGAGTAGAACTGTGCTCTATAGTGTTTTCAGTGCCTGATTTCTTAGAAGTAGATTACCGTATTTGTATACAGACAACACTTGCCTTCTGTGTCAACCGAGCCCTCCTCCGAGCCCTCCTCCTTCGAGGTATTTTCCTAAGCAGCCCTATGCTAATTTTTTTTGCTCTTGGTCCCCTAGTGGGGGGAGGAAGTGGTTGGCAAACAAACCATAGAAGGTGCGCATTATTTGCATAAAAATACAGTATCAGGTCTTTCTCCTGAGGCATCTTTGGGTGGACTTGAATCTCCAACCTTTCAATTAGCAGCCAACCGTGTGTGGACCTTTTGCACCACCCAGGGACTCCAGAGGTTCGTAATATAATAAATAACCACAGTATTCAACGTAGAAACCTTAATCATATTAATATCACTAACAACTTTTTTTAAGCACTTTAAATGCATTAACTGATGTGATCATCTCAAAATTCCTGTGAAATTAGCTTACTCTATCCGGAAAACTAAGGCTCACGGAGGTGGTCTTGATCAAGGTCAAACAACTAGTAATACCCATGATTAGACCTTGTCCACTGACTCCAGAGCCGGTGCCCATTCCCACCCCATTACACTGAAGGAACCACTGGGGGTGACTTCGGGGAAGTTTTTTGTTATTGTTGTTAGTTGCCTTTGAGTTGATTCCAACTCATGGTGACCCCATATGTGCACAGTAGAACTGCTCCATAGGGTTTTCAAGGCTGTAACCTTTCAGACGATCTCTAGGCCTTTCTTCTGAGGTACCGCTGGATAGGTTCGAACCACCAGCCTTTTGGCTAGTAGGTGAGAGCCTAATCGTTTATGCCAGCCAGGGACTCTTTTGGGGTAGTAAAAGCCCTTAAAAAAATATAACGAGGCTGCTGGAAACTAGGATTTCACTTTTAAGAGGAGAGGAAGAACGCCCCACTGGATTTTTTTTTTTTTTTAACCAAGACATTTCTCCCTTCTTGATATCATCATGCCCAAAATCAAACTAAAGAATCTGTAGAAATATATAACTAGAAAGCTCACAGGGACCCTCCTAATGTCCTAAAGAAGAAAGCCTCCATGAGAACTAGGAGGGTGGAGACCTGAGAGAGAACAATCAGAGAATTAATGAGGAACACAGCCTGTTGAAATTTTATGCAAGCAAACACCATCACAAACGCTTCCAAAGGTCAAGTTGCAGTGAGTGAGGTAATGCTGTTTTGGGAGTGAAGTAAACATTACTCTAACTTTGCTCTGAGAATTTTCTTTTTTTTTCTGTTTTCCCTTTGCCCTTTCTTTCTTTCAATTTTGATTTTTTTTTATCCGTTTAAATCAAAATTGTTCTCACCTCCCCTATGTCACCTATGTCTCTGTAAAAAACATTTTCTAAGCCTTCCCCTCAGTCTCCAGATTTTCTCAAGACCCTTATGCAAGGGCAGACAATATTTTCTTACAAGGCTGAGAGTTTCAAGAGTGTGGAAAATGACGTTGGATTAGACTTGGCAGAACCGAGAGGGCAGAGAAGGTAAGGGAGGGGGAGAAGAGGGAAGGAAGGGTCTCATGTTCAAAATAATCTTGATTTCCAACCAATAACACGGCACAAGTTAAGCATTTTCATAGACAGTCTTAACAGTTTTACAAGATTTTTTTTTTTTTCTCTCTTTCAAAATGTGCTTTCAACAGTCAAGCTGTTTTCAAATGAACTGAAAGGAGTTCTGTGTTCAGAAGGGACAAGGATGGGCTATAGCATATGACTGGAGAGATACAAAAGCTGCTTTATTTAAATGTATGTTTGCACTGGCAGGAATTTGGAGACCTACCTGCACATAATCCACACTTCGTCCCAGGGCTCTGAAGGCCGTGTACATGACTTCTCTTTTTCCACCCCACTTTTGCATGATGCAAATACTTTTGTTGGACAAGACCAGCTGGGTTACATGTAGTGAGCTTTCTTTATGCGACTCCTCTGTCTCACCGGGGCCCTTTTCGTGGAAATTGTTCTTCCAGATGTAAGTGGCTGATTTGTCCCTGCCCATGACTTCACTGAAGATGTCCATCATGTAAAGATCATCTTCCGAGTTCCCGTCTATGACCATGACGACTTTAATTCCAGGGTAGGTGAGCCTTTTCACAGATTGCAAACATTTCCTTAAGTAGTCGGGATCTTCTTGATAGGCAGCTATGCAAAGAGCGACTGTTTTGTTCAACTTAATTGGGGTTTCTAGGGATTTTTTCATTTTTCGGTGCTCCAAAAAGGCAAACAGGCTTTGGATGATGAGGTGTGATGCTAAAAAGGCACCATACAGTCCAAAAGAGAAATAGTAGTTATCCGTTTGGATAAACTGGTAGCCAACGATATAAGCAGCTGTGATTCCAAGGAGGAGCGAGACTCCAAAAAGTGTGGTTCCAATTATTCTCAGGATGCATAGAAACCTCTCACAATGCATCTGTAATATAATAAAGTGATAGACTTGGTTAGCCATCCTTGTCCTCCACTTGTTATATGCACGGTATCATGGAGAGAATATTGGACTAGAAGCATCCAGGAGATCTAACCCTGCATTTCTTGTTTAGCTAACTATTTGCCTTTCTGTACCTCAGTTTGCTTATCTGCAAAAAAGGGATAAGGATGTCCTTCCGGCACATCACAGAGGGAAGTTTCAAAAATCAGATGATATGATAGTGCGATGTATTATTGGAAATAACTGCATGTTAAACAAATACATGGCTGTATTAGATCACTTGTCTAAGCCTGCACTTTGCAGATGTGGTCATAGTCAGGTCTAGAACATAAATTTCCTAACTCCCAGGGTAATCTTTCTTCCTACACCACCCCCTACCCCTCTTCACCCCCCCAATACTGACCAGTGAATAATCCACAGAAGGTTTTGCTAAATTTCTCATTCATAATTTTGTCTCATCTCCAATGCACATCTTTTCCATATCTCACCCTTTCTACATAGTCAGCTGAGACTGGAGATCAGGATACCTGGATTCTAGTTCTAGCTCTTCTACTAACTAGCTGGATGACTTTGGGTGACTCACTTTACCTCTTGCGGGAGAGGAGCTCGGTTTTTTAATCTGATAAGTGAGGGTGTTTAGACTCAATTGTTTCCAAAGTCCCTGTTGGCATTAAAAATGCTCTATCCCTGCACAGATATCTATCAAAGCCCCTGTAATTGTGAATTACACTCCTTTGTCCAGAAGTCTGTCTCCCCCATCCACCATCACCAACCACCAGATGGTAAGATCCTGAGGATCAGGAACCTGGTCGGATTCATCTCTGTGCCCTTCTGGCCTAACATACTTCCTGAAACATAGTAAGTGCACACTAAGTGTTTGTAGAAATAACTAATAAATTAAGGAAATAATATCATGCTTAATTTCAACAGTAGAGTTTTCCATCTTCTTGAAAGCTGCAGCACATTAAACCTGAAACAAATTTCAGCCCTTAATAAGAGCTAGTTTTATACTCTTCCCTAAAGCTCGTGTATCTCCTGAATAAGATTTTGAATAACTTGAGGACAGAAGGACCATTTTTCTGTATTCCCTAAAACATCTCTAATGCTGGGCATAGAAGAGATGCTTGGTAAGTCTTTTGTATCTTATGTATTTTTCCCTCAAGCTTATTTCCTTCCTCTGCCAAGTATGGACTATCATATCGGACACAAACAGTGTGATGTAGTGTCCCCCAGTTCAGTCATTGACACCAACTTCAAGTTTTGGTCATACTTACATATAATTACTACTTAATCTTTTTATTTAATTTAAATAATTTGTGAACACCAAATGAGTTTATTTTAAATGGAAACTTATGCTAAGCAAGGATCTCTGCAAAATCTCGATTGATATGTTCTTTATATTTTCCTAATCTATATTCAAACTTAAAATTAAATGTCCATCTAAAATGATCCTGGTGGTTACCAGTTGCAGGACACCATGTTGCCCATATTCACATTCTATTCCCTGCCGCTCTACATGGCAGTTGTCCTGAGTGGGTACACAGTATACTCTGGGGAAACGTTAGTGTAGCTGTTCACCAACTGTGTCACCTCTCCGTCCTGAACACTGAGTACCTAGTGTGGCCATAGAGTTCCAACCTTTGGAAATCTGAGATGTACCACTTCCAGTAGGGACTTTAAAGAGACAGGGTGGGCCTCCTCCCATCTCCCACAGGCTTGATACACAGCAACAAGGTCCTAGGTGACTGCAGAACCCCGACGTAGAAGGTGCTTAGTCCTTGAACTGCCACATGGAAGGGGGCCACCCACCAATCAGAAACACCTGCCTTGGACTCTTGTGTTAGCAAGAAATAATCTTCTGAGTTTTCACTTGTTTGTATGACTTTCTGTCTACCCACTATGCATTTTGAGGTTTAGTTCACCCTAATTAATGCAATTTAGGTAACACGAAGCAGCCTGGAGCCCAGGATTTTAGCTTATTGTCATCATTTTCTTTTGTTAACTAGAGATAATACTGTTTGTCAAAGCCAAGAAATGAAATAGTGTTTGTGAAAACGTGTTTTAAAGAACCAGGAACACAAAGCAATTTAAAGTATCGGCTAACTAAAAAAAAAAAAACAAACCCATTGCTGTCGAGTCAATTCCGACTCACGGTGGCCCCATGTGTTACAGAGTAGAATTGTGCTGCATAGGATTTTCTTGGCTGTGATCTTTTGTGGAAGCAGTTCACCAGGCCTTTCTTCCGTGGTGTCGCTGAGTGGACTTGATCTGCCAACCTTTAGGTTAGCAGTTGAGCGCGAACTGTTACACCACCTAGGAACTGTCTACTAACTAGGAAGCTAAAAAAACAAAGACATGGCTCCACTTCTAGCAGCTATGTAAGACTTCAGAGTATGCAACATGTGAGCATGATGAAAGCAATCATACCACAAATGGAAAGTTCAGGCTGCGGGAAATGGTGAAATGCTAGCTTTTCAGCTAAAGGCAAGGAAGTACAGCATCTTTCATTAATTAACACAGCTGATGGGATGCTGGACACTCCCCAAGGGTACATTAACCAAAGCATTAAGGTGCTGGGAGCACCAGACTTGGAGCTGTCATTTCCAAGACGTGAGTCATTCTCACAAGAGTGAAAAATTTCAAGGGGACTCAAACACTTTGCCAGGGAGAAGCTTAAGCGTGTGCTTAGCTTTTCTTTAAAATCACCATAGCCAGCAGAAAACCAGGCTGCCATTCTGTTCCATTATTCACATTTTCCTTGCTTTTATCAGCACACGTGGACACGAGCGTTCACATAGCATCTGCTGGCCACAGCTGAAGTGGGAACACCCTCTTACATCATAGGCGTCTACAGACTGTCCTTTTGAAGCCTGGGAAAAGTTACTAGTAAACTACAGCCACCTGGCTAGAAGGGAACCTTTATATTTCTGCAAATATATATCTCATTGTTGCCTCCTAGGACACTTGCAGCTTCTCAGCACAGGTCAAAGAGCAAAAGGCACATTTTAGAGCCAGCTTTGTGGAGGGAATACATTGATCTCAGAGAGTGACATACAGGATGTGTTTCTCTATAATTTCCCCTGGGTGATTTCATAGACAATCCCTAATTCAAACACTATGTTTTCATAAGCACATTCTCCTTGTCAGACATGTGGCTTTGTTGTTAAATTGGAAAATATGGTTAGTACAATCCTAGACCAGAGAGCTTACTGCTCCATCGGGAGATGATTTAGAAATCTATATTTCATAAACATTCGAAATATAAAACTTGTAGTTTTTTGCCCGGTATATTAGCCTATTGATTGATTTTTAAATTGCTATTAGACTTGATAACAGTTATTCACTAACTACTATTCTCTACGGAATTCTAGGCCAAACGAAGTGTTAAAGAATGCTCGATGCACCCTAATATAAGCTCCACAAAGTCACTGATTTACCATTATCTCTTTTCAGTGATGTACCCCAAGGACATAAAACATTGTGTGGATTATAGTTGGTACTCAATAAATATTTGTTGAATGAATGAATGTAACTTTATTCATCATTATCACCATTATCACCATCATGACAACTAACATTTATTCAGCATTTATTACATTCCAGGCAGTGGGTCATGTTTTATTTGCTTTGATTTGTTTTGTTTAATAGCATAATCTTATTTAATCTTAAAGCCTTTCAGTGACAAATATATTAATCATCTTATTACTCTTACAAGTGAAGTGTTACAATTACTCTTACAATATGAAGTGTTTAAGTGACTTGTCCAAAGTCACAAAACCAGGAATAGAATCCACACAGTAGCATAATGCCAGATGATTAGGATACTCTCAACAAACATTTGCTGAATAGATTTGCATCCTCATGACAAAATGGGAAGCATCTTTTTTTATTTCTCAGGAGCAGATGTAAAGTCTCACTGATAGCTCAAACACTCCAAGAGATGTTCTATGAGTCATTGGGCACCAGAGACTTTTCCTGAGATTAGCCACAGGGCAAAGGGTTGGGGGAAGGAAGAATGAGTTTCTCTCACTGGCTAGTGCAGTGGTGAGAACTGAGCTCTTATCACCTACATAAAGTCGCCCTTCAGTTTGGGATCTGGGAAAAAGGGAAGGGAGTTCAGATTAGTCAGCCTCTTGGAAAGTCTGCAGAGATAAGATCAAATGATCCCTTAGGTTACCACTCCCTTCTAAAGTAACTCCTCCACCCTGCCCTCTCTTTACTCCCTGTCATCCTCTCTTCCCTTCCCCTGCTTTATTTTCTAAGTAGCACTTATGTGTGCTCCATGACCACAGGGACTTACCTGACTCAATCAATCAATGGCTATATCCCTGTACCAGAAACGGGGCTTGGCACACGGTCCATACTCAGTAAATACCTTGTGAATAAATGAATAAGCCCATTTGGACTCAATCAGCGCAGACTGAGAGAACATAGATTTCTCTCCTATCTTTGACCCAGGAGCAGTGATTATATGCTAAGGGTCCACCTGACCCTTAAGCGGAAACCTCATCTAGCATTTTGTCTTTCTTCCTTTGTAACCACTCTGTAATTTCTTGCCCAGTAGTCTCAAGGTAGGAAGACTCTTGGATGACAACAATAGAAAAGGAATATGGTCCCCACAAGTATTTCTAATCAATTTTGAGTTGTAAGCTGAGCAATCTGATGAGTTCAGGAGTTAAATTGGGGTATGGGAATTAACAGGAGCATCTGTTATAGTGTATTTGTATATGTGTGTGTGTCTCATCTACTTAACTGGAAAAATTATGTGATGTGGTATTTACCATATTTCAAAGGCTTTGAAGTCAGATATGACCAAAAAAAAAAAAAAAAAAACCAAAAAACCAATTGCCATTGAATTGATTCCAACTCGTGGGTATCAGAGTAGAATTGTGAGTCATAGGGTTTTCAATGGCTGTGACCTTTTGGAAGTAGATCACCAGGGCTTTCTTCCTAGGTGTCTCTGAGTAGATTAGAACTGCTAACCTTTTGGTTAGTAGTTGAGCATATAACCATTTATGCCACGCAGGGACTCCAAATTCAAATACTACTTCTTCCATCTACTATGTGCTTGACCTCATTATGGGCCCCCTGGAAACCAGGAGAATTTGGCTTCTGGAACTGGTCTCAGGTAGGATAGAAATCCTGGCTCTTCCTTTAATGATTGGGAACCTTGAACAAGTTACATAATACCTGTGATCTTCACTTTCTTCATCTATAAAATGGAGCTAATCATATTGACTTCACAAAACAGATTATGAGATTAAAAGAGGGAACTCATATAAAGTATCTAAAAAAAAAAAAAAAAAAACAATACTGTTACCAGTTGGAGCTCAATAATGTTAGCTCCCTGCCAGTAACTACCTGACCAGCCTGACTCTGCTCCCGTTTGAGACTATGTTTGTGAGTTAGAAAGTGATAACCGTGGCATGATGGAAACAATAGCAGGTATGGGAATCAGAAGAAATTGATTCAGACTCAGGCTCTGCTTCATATTAGCTATCTGACATTAAGACAAACCACTTCAGGGTCATATGAATGAACTATGTGTCCTTGGACAATTCACTTCATATCTCTGACCTTCAAAGTTTTAGGGTTAGCATTAAGAGTCTTATTAATTTTGTACTGCTACCATGAATAGCTGACAGTCTGTAAGAAGGACATGTTATGTGCTCCAATTCCATACTCTTCATCACAGCCACCTGAAGGATGATG